CTCTATTTTCAACTCTCTCTTTCTCTCTCTCTCTCTCTCGTTCTCTTTCTCTCTCTATTTCTCTTTCTTTTTCTCGCCCTTAGGTTCGCTAATGGAAATCATCTTAAAAAGTTGCCCCGTGCCCGAGGGAAGAGAGACGTCGTACAAAAATCTTGAAATCTTGCGGTGTATTTCGACAGTAGTATTCCCGCAGGATCTCCTATAAAATTTCGAGAGAAATGGAATAGCATTGAGGGAGGAAGAAATATGCGAGCGCGCGCGCGCGAGAGAGAGAAAAAGAGAGAGAAAGAGAAATAAAGAAACCTCACTCTCACGCCATATTTTTCACCCTCCATTTTTACGCCATCTTTCGCTCGACTACCCGATCCACCCTCTCTCCCTCTCCCACACACTTTCAGTTAGTTCGTCTTTGTCTCATTCGCTATCCGTCCTTTTAGACGCGTCTCCCTTTTCACTGTTCCTCATCCCCTCCAAATTCTCTCCCTCTCTCTCTCACCCTCTTTCTCTTTCTCTCTCTGTTTCTCGCATTCTCCTGTCTCCTACCCTTCCCTTTTCCATCCATATAACGTTCCATCTCCGTTCGTCACAGTGTTCTCCTCGTTTATTTTGATCAATACGACCGATCGGAATAGTTTCGATTCCAACGATTGACTTTTCATCTTTAAACATTTATTTCAAATAAATATCCTTAGGATAGAATATCGAATTTACTTTTTCCTTTTTCCTACTTTTTATTTACTTATTTTTTTCTTTTTATAATTTCAAAACAATTTAAAAATAATAAAAATGAATGAACATATATAATTCTCTTATCTTTGTAAAGGAAATGAAAAGAAGCAATATCAGAACGGTAGTAGTTTTACCGATTTTATCTTTTCCACTGGAACGATAATATAATTGAAATTGTAAGTTAATTTTGAATTCTATTTTTTCTTCAATAGATAGATATCGCGAATCGTCTTTCCTGATTATAATAATAATAATAATAATAATAATAATAATAATAATAATAATAATAATAATGATAACAATAATAATAATAATAATAATAATAATAATAATAATAATAATAATAATAATAATAATAACAATATTAATATTAATAATAATAATAATAATAATAATAATAATAATAATAATAATAATAATAATAATAATAATAACAATAATAATAATAATAATAATAATAATTATTATTATTATTATTATTATTATTATTATTATTATTATAATAACATTAATAATAGTAATAGCAAAATATCTGCTTGTGTGTGTGTGTACGTGTGCTTATGTGCACAAACGCTACAACTTGCGCGCGCACTTGTTCGATTTATTCGTATTGAATTTCGAATGAATGTATTATCTGAAAGGCGATCAATTATTTCGCTACACCTCTAATTAATCTGTTGCCTTCTACTTCCTTTTATGAAATTTTCAAGCCCTCTCTGTGTACTTATGCCCGTTGTTGCGTGAAAATATTGCTCGTTGTGATGATTAAACAAGCAAACGCAAAGTATGGAGAGAGAGAAAGAAAGATAGATAGTTAGATAAAGAGAGAGAAAGAAAAAGAGAGAGAGAGAGAGAGAGAAGTATATAACAGAGTCTCCATACTCGTGCAATCTATAACATTGATAACTATGAAGATCTATTTTCTTAGAAGTATGCAGAGAGAAAGAGAAAGAGAAAGAGAGAGAGAAAAGTATATAACAGAGTCTCCATACTCGTGCAATCTATAACATTGATAACTATGAAGTTTTATTTATTTTCTTAGAAGAACCAAAAATAAAAATGAAAGAAAGAAAGAAAGAAAGAAAGAAAGAAAAGGGACAAAAAAAAACATCAAAAGAAGCAACAAAAAAATTTCTTTGAATAAGTTTCCACAATGAAATCGTTTTTGCTGACTGATTCCGAGTGTCGTCTTGCAGCAGCGTTGGTCCGTTGAGTAATTATTTTTTCAGCCCCTCATTCCCGTGTGATCTTTTTAGCGTACCTCCTTCTCTTCTTCTTGGCCCTTTGGAGGACCCTTTCGAGATTTTTAACGTCCTTACGACCCTTCTGATACTTTTCCCTCTCTCTCTCTCTCTCTCTCTCTCTCGCTCTCTCTCTCTCTCTCTCTCTCTCCCTCTTCGCAAGTTGTTCCTCGCGAGAACGATAACGAAAAGAAAGCTAGAAGATATGAGGGTGGCTCTAAGAGAATTCACCCCTTATGCGAGTCCACGTAACATCGGGTAATGTCGAACGGGAGAAAGAAATTAGCGAAATTAAACGACCATGCCGCAGTTCGACTAAAATAAGAAGGGCCGAAAAACACTACCCTTCTTTTTACTTCGTGAAAAATAGAATAGGCTATTTGTGATTAATTATTCGAACGTTGAATGAGAGCCGGAAAGATAAACGAGGGTATATTCGAACGAACGAATAGAAAGTAAGATTTTATCAAGTTATCAAAGAGTGCATCACGTTACGCGACATAACGTGAACTTTCTATCTTTTCCTCGTGTGTTATTAAGAAAGATTTAAACAGTTTCATGTACTCATGAATGATGATAACGTAAATTAAGTAATTAAGTAATTAAGAGATACAAAGTATCCCTGTATTTCTTTATAGTGATTTATTAAAAAAAAAAAAAAAAAAAAAAAGAAAAATAAACAAATAAATAAATAAATAAATTCTTAGAACAACCTCATTATTACTTGTTAATTACTTATGAAAAGTTTTAATATAATAGGATAAGAGAATATTTGGATTATTCGGAAGAAGCGAAGCGACCGATTTTATGCCAGTACAATTTTATATACGTCTACGTATGTACGTACATAGATATTTATTATAATCTAGATTGAAAGGGACGGCATTTTCGTAAATGAAATTAATCTGTCGATGCGTACCGTGCGTCCATTTAATATCCATCACGCGTTCATCACTGCAGAAACGATCCAACGATGTGTCTTCACACTCTTTATCTCTTTCCTCTTTCCTTCTTTCTCTCTTTCTCTCTCTCTCTCACGAAAGTGTATCGTTCCTCTTCGTCCATTGAGTTCTCTCAACTAAGATCTTAGTTGTTCTTCTTCTTCTATCGCACGATTAACTTTACGATCGCGAAGATCACGAAAATCACGGAAATCACGGAAATACGGTGATCGATCGATGAGAAATTTTGAACGTAACATCTTAATACGGCGCGCGTCCGTCGAAAACTGACCCTGCAGCTGGCCACCTTAAAAAAGGGGGTGTAAGGATTTTAAGAGAGGGAAAGGTATAGCACGGGGACCAACGGGACATGATGCTTGGTGGGGGCCTAGAAAAAGGGGCGAGAACCTTGATGTCCACCATTCTTTTATCTTCTTTTTATTTTTTTCTTTTTATTTTCTCTCTTTCTCTCTCTCTCTCTCTCACACATATTCTGTCTCTCTCTCTCTCTCATACATACACATACTCTCTCTCTCTCTCTCTCTCTCTCTTTCTCTCATCCTGCAAATTCATGCGTCAACATATCGCCTATCCTGTTTTCCCTTTCCAACGATCTGCAAAGACGCATTGTGAGGTTCAGGTAGGTTAGACTCGTTTCGGGGATCGTATCTAAGGGGTTGCTCGCAAGTAGTTGCTCGAAAGAAGGGATAGCTAGATCAATTCTTTTTTTTCCTCTCTTTCGGTCCAAAAAAAAAAAAGAAAAAGAAAAGAAAGAAAAAAGATACAAGTGGCAATATAATTATATCATCGATCGATATCGAACATCTAAAAGTATGTAATGAAATGTAATGAAAATTTCTATCAAAGTAATTCAATATTAAATTAAGTGAAAACGAATATGTTAAGCACGACAGTACGTTGATCTTTCGAAAACAATGAATAAATATAAGTTCTATGAGACTAACGAAACGTAAAATATGGGTACATCTATAAATAAACAGTTATTTACACGAAGACGCGTACTTGTTCATCGTTCGCGGTTCGTCCTTTATCATCGTTATGTACTATCATGAAAATACATATTGTTTTGGAGAAACTCGTCAGTGCGAGGAGAGAGGATGGCTCCCATTTCCGTTGCACTGCAACGTTCCTCTGTACTTCTCCTCTCCCTTCCCCCGTCCCTTTCTCTCACTCTCTTTCTCTCTCTCTCTCTCTCTCTCTCTCTCTCTCTGTGTCTTTCTCTCTCTCGGAGCCGGCAGCTTCCCTCCCCGCCAGCCATCTTTCTGGCACCTATTCGATCGATCGTTCCGTAGGACCCTGCCACGGGTCGTGCCTATTGGTCGATCCTCAATATCTCGTGTCGGTTTTCGAGTTAGTAACGACGACACTCCGACGCATTCCAACAGGGAAATCAAC